ACTCCTTCTGAGCTTCAAAGTGGTCAGGTCAAAGTAGGGAGCATAGCTATTAACAAAGAGGAAAGTATGGAGCTGCAACCGACTAGTAACCTTTTTCAGTATGTCAAATGCATTTCGAAATGCAAGTATAAGGGTCATCAATTATTGCACAAATCAGTATTTTTTAGTTTTACAAGTTGGCCCAATACTGTTAAGCGAACTTTTGTGGAAAACTCAAGATATGACAGAGTGTTGTAACAACTTCAATAAACTCTTCTGAAATTTTGCAGCAGTTTCTGCTCTTTCGTGGAACACTCAACCAAATTAGGGCCGCCGCTTTTCCCTCCCAGTCTATATCTAAACAGGGAAGAAATTAAAATGTGGAATCAACTGTTTACTTCCAACTCTCATTCATTTGGATCGCTCCGATCAGGATTTGTCAATTCCTTTTACTTCTTCTTCGCCCATGTAGACCCTTCCTTCAGCCTGTGGGACCACAAACAGTAAAAACACTCCAGTAGGGTCGGAATTGATGAAGTAACGCTGTTCGATCACTGATAAAAACAGCTGATAAAGTCTTACCCAGTGTGCCCCACTAACTTACTGACCAGGTGTCAACTGGCTTGTCAACATATGATTTTTCTGCTTCTGATGAAAACTGCGGGAGTTCTATCTGTGAACGCTATCTGCACATAGTTTATATATATTGATTTATTGATTATTTACTAAATATATTTTGCAAATAGAGTTGTAAGAAAGTATTCCACAAGTGCTATTGACGTTTCTCGAAATATAGAACTTTGTTAGGCTTTTCTTAGAGAGAAAACAAAAATGCACACCCTGTTTATACGGAGATCACGTAAATGGGAAAGATGAAAAGAGATACCCACAAAATTTAGAAAAATTGGCGAATTTAACAGATTCGTCTAAATCGGTGAAAGCCTATCTGAAAAGAGAGTTTTGGAAAAATTTTGAACCAACAGGGCAAGAAATTTTGCCTCAGAAAAATTCTTTTTCCTGAGATTTCCACTTCCTAGTGAATATCCCTCTATCATTTTTGATAACCAGATTTTTTCAATAATTAAAAAAATCTTAGCATCTCAAAATAGAACGGCCAGTTGATCTTGTTATACTTAAATAACTTCATCAGTTCGTTGATTTTTATGTCGGAGCAAAGATTCACATAGTTAACGTTATGACAATATTTAGATGGCCGTAATTGTCCTGGCAGCAGCTATCGCCTTTGTTCTCTATCTTGTAATTTCGTTTCATCGCCAGTTCATCTTTCTCTGGAAGCTAAATCGCAGATGTAACGTAGCATTAACGAAGATACCAGGGCCGCCATGTCTTCCAATCATTGGAGCCGCTCATAAGTTCAAAATGAACAGCGTTGGCAAGTGAATTTTGATTTATCTTCCGAAAATTCTCGATTAACCCCTCAGTTGAAATGCGTCTGTTCAGAGTTCACCTATCAAATGGAAGAATGGGGACGGCAATATCTCCTGAATGAACACACCTACAATGGCATAATAAAGCTGTGGGTGGGACCGGTGCCATTGGTGTTCGTTGGAATGCAAGAATCGATCAGGGCAAGTTTCATTGTTTGTTGAATATCAAGGAATACCAAGAGATGACGAATTCCTAAACAAAAACGCTATCGTATTGGCATCACTTGGGAGTTCAACCGTTCAAATTTCTAGCATAACCCAGTATTGAGTCATACTTGTTGGAAGTTTCAATAAAGGCAGGAACCATTGGATGGTTCTGAATCGCTCCCTTCTTAGGAATTCACGGAACGGTCTCAGTGTGTGCCCGGGAAAGGGGAGCGATATCAAGTAGTCGTTGGAAATACGTGGTGTAGTCGCAGCTACCGCACTATGTATCACAGACACATGGTCGCGGGTTCGAGTCTCGGATCAAAAGTGCCTAAAACAACCGTACCTTCCGCCCCTCTAGGGCCTCTTATCTGGTAGTAGACTTGTCAAGAGGATAAAAACACTTTACATCGGCTGGCCACCGCAAGTCATTGTATAGGCCGTAGGCACATTCAAAACGCCTTTACGATTCTAATTGGCAGTGGAATGCGGGGCGTAACCTAACTGACTTTATCTTCTTTCTGTAGTTGAAGAGTACAGCCAGGAAGCTATTTTCTGTTGTAGCCAATACTCGAAAGCAACACGAATATTTCGAAACCGAACCAGTACGACATCGTTTCAGATTGGATAGGAACCGGTTTACTAACGAGGTGAGCCTTTTTTTTTGTCACCTACTCTAATTACGATTTGTCTTTGTATAAGCATGGCAGAATTCTGGGGAAATTGTACAAAATAAAGGTTTAGGGAGTAGCATGATAGTACACTGATGCAAGTGGAGGTTGAAGGAGGCCACTGAGACAACAGAAAGAAAATGAACTTGGATATGAGTTTTTGATTTGTCATTGGGCTGTTAGGGAAAAAGAAAACGCTCAGTTAGCCCTGAACTTTTAGTGAGCCACATACCTTTAAAAATTTCCTCCATTGCCTGCGATAAGCATATGGAATGTTGGGGTGTGCTATACATATATTCATGCGAAGAAAGAATTAGCATTTCGGCAAAAGGTCACTATCACACATACATGACCCAAGGACTGAATCTCGGATCGATAGTTGCCCCGGTCATCCTTTCGTAGTCGGTCAATTGGTATCAGGCTCATCTGAGAGGATAAAAGTAGTGACTTTTATATCTGTTGGCCATTGCAAGTCATTGTGTGGGGCCACATACGCATTCAGAAAATTTCAAGAAACGCAGTCGCCAGGACAGTTCTGAGTGGAAGCCCAATACCAGTTGCATACTGAAAACGGGATCGATTGACGTCGAAGACCTTAGAGTGCATAAGAACATCCTGATCCAAAAGCATACCTCTATGTAGTCACTCTGTCGCTTACTGAAAGCTGGTCGTAGAGCGGCTCACTTCCAACCTACAGAGGGAATGTAAGTGTCGCTATTGAAGTTGAATTTATGCGCTTCAGCCTAGAGGGAATAACCAATGTCAGACCTTTTTTTGCTTCCTCGGCACAACTATCATAGCCACAATCCACCACCGTCACTCTTAAGAAAAGAGCCATATCGGCATGAACATGAGCTAGACTAGGTGACTTTAGAGCCAGACTCACTTCAACAACTAAAGAGGTTTTTTAGACTTAATACTAGTAAATAATAATGGAGTAGAGCCGCAACAACAAATTATAAAAAAAATTACTGAAATGAATGCTTTTGAGTACGAACGACAAATGGTTTCACCGAAGAAAAATGCTCACACCTACGTTTCACTTCAACATACTCCAAGGCTACTACAACGTCTTCGTTCAACAAGGAGAGGTCAGCGTTCTGGTTTCCGGCACGGAGCTAAGGCTGTTATCACTACATAGCAATATTAATTTCAGATCCTCGTCGACCTTATAGCCAAAGAAGAAGGATTCTTCGACCTATTCCCGTACATAAAGCGATGTGCACTGGACATCATCTGTGGTAAGCGAATTCCGGCATGAACAGACCCACCTTCATGGGAAATTAGAGGAATCTGAACATCTCCAGAAACCGCTATGGGCACCTCGATCAACAGTCAATACGGTGGTAGCAATGATTATGTGACGGCTGTACAACAATTGAGCTCAATTATTTGGAACTATCAGAGGTAAGCTGTTGGATGAGAGGGGGCTCTGCCCACTGAAGGTTTTTGCCTATTCTGAATGAAAGAAGTGAGAAAGCTTGGGAAATGGGAGCAAACCTGAGTTCGAGTTGGCAGCTGTCTGTGGAGCGGTGGGGTAAGGCAGTTCCTGTCCCCGTACGTTTAACCGCTTATATATGTCGGAAGCTCCGACGTGTTACCGCCTTCCTAGAAAAAGTTCGTCCGGCGACGATCATTTCTAGAAGCCGTCGTACGAGGTAGAAAAAGGATGGAATCGTAAAGTCACAGCTATCGAGGAGGATTTTGGCCTCTATCTTCACAACCATCGCTAACTATTTGTTATAATATCATAGCTAAGTGCCTCAGGTACAGCAAACATGGTACAGTAGTAATACATGTTTATTGTATATATAAGGCGAGGTGGTGTAGTAGCAAGCGGCGCATTATCACACACGCATGGTCACCAGTTCCAGTCCTAGATGGATATCCGTCTAGGCTTACCAAGCCTCCCATATCTCCGGGGTACCGGGGTACCAAAGTACCAATTAGCCGACCTTTTCTCCTTCTCAGGTCCTACACGATTCAATAGGCAGTACCACCACCGAGAGGAAAAGCAGACGAATACTGTCACCAGAGCCAAGCTTGCTAGACCAGTTTCTGCTGCTTCACACATGAATACTTACAGTTCTAGAAATGAGGACGGTCGTTTTTTTTGTGAAGAATTCGTATTCATGGCGCGTCGTTCATCAGCGCGATCGGTGTCATTAAAAAATGGGAATTTAGGGTCAAAGGCTGAAAAACCTCATAAGCATCGCGCCTGGCTTTGAAGAGTTTCTTCCATGGAGTTTATGCTCCAGCAAAGTGGCAGGGATTTATTTGTTTATATCTTTATTTACTTATACGAAGCTACACTTCCAAAGAAAACCTAGTTCAGAGAGCAGATTTAACCAAGAACTCGACATTCATCAGAACAAGAGCCCCATTCATGGAGCCATAAAATTTGTTTCCATCAAAGCCAATCAGATTGATACCGGAAATTCCTGTCCCCCTAGGTCCTGGAAGTCGTTCGGAAAGGGGATTGATGGGTTCGGGTCTGGGAACATTCTATGCAAGATAAAGTTTTTTTTTCAATTAATTAAACAGCAGATATAATTCATGCACGACAGCTCTCGAGAGCTTTTGACGGTCAATAACATTCACCCTTCCGCCAGGACAGATGCGAAGTCCCGAAAAAAGTCCTGGTCCTTCCCAGAACTCTGCCTTTCCATGACTCAATTCTAGCGCGCTGCAGATGAATGACTTCAAATTATACATGGTTTGGAAACAATGCCGAGGTTTTCGAGGTAAAAACTTCCAACAGCTTGGGAGCGCGTTTCTAGTTTTGTTTTTAGGGAGTGCTTCATGCAGATATCACTGTCAAAAGCGATTAAATCGAAATGAACCTGCTGGGACCACAGCTCCTACACTAAATGATGGAAGTTCCGAAACTTTCATGGAAGTACCTCCGCATTCCGTGTCCGCACACCTCATGATTCTAAATTAAGCAATGAGAGTTTTTATTGAGTCCTCAAGCGAGGAGGCTGGGGGAGAGGGAGTTTACGGTCGGTAGACAAGAAGTGTCATTGCCTTCACGAAGGAGACCATTGGGAAGGTCATGCTAATGTATATGGTGACTCCTGCGATAATCACTTTTACATAATACCAGTTCTGATGCTTTACTGCAAATCGCTAAATCGATTCTCCCTTTTCAAGGAAATTCTTAAACGCGAACTTTTTAATGTTTGTTAGCTTTTTTATAGAAAGGGAGAGAAAGAACCCAAAAAAATGCATCAGGATCCACATTTTTGTAGCACTCAGTGACCCAGTTATGCCACAGCAATCGCGCTTAACCCAGCCCCCATAATCCTCTCATGCGCACCCCTTGTTTTCATGAGTTGATGAGATTTCGATCAAATCAATTCGATAGTAAACGAGCCTTCCAGCGCCCAGCGCTACTTTTACACGTTCTCTAGAGAGTGAGCCTTCGGCGGTTACTAGTTATCGGTGATGTGGCAATGATTGAGCAGTCATCTACTCTACATCTAATAAATTCATGTAGAAAAACAGAGGCTTTTTGGAAATTGAACGGAGGGCTTACCACTCCCTGTGGTTCGAAGAGAATTCCAGCCGCAGTGGATCACATAACCGTTCACCTTCATGGGCGAAAAGCCTGTGCACGTCCAAGACTCGAAAATGTCTGAGTATTTCCTGAACCAAGCTATTGAGCACTGTATAACAACTTATTGTTATTGATTATTCTTACTGATTACAATATTTACTTCTAAGGGCGGGGCTGGTGTAGCGCAAAAGGCGCAATCATTCTGAGGCGAATTCGAGAGCACGGGCAAGCGAGTTACCTGGATTGCGTACTATCGTAAATTGTGCTACCAAAAATAGCAACGGTCGCCCTTCTTGTACGATTGCAACACCACCAATAATGCCATTGTCGTAGTCACCACCCAAATCTCCCATTCATCAGGGACGACTCATTTTTCCCTATTGTCGCGCTTGCGCCTTTCAGGCGAACACCCTGGAGCGACACGCATCTGGGGAACACGTCAAAGCGAAATATCACATTGAAGGATCACTATAGCTCATTATCCTCTTCGGAGATTAGACTATCGTGCCCACTGAACTAGGCAGCAATTTCGAAGTTATCCAGTAGGTTACGCTGTGGTAACCAGTCAAGATGTGAGTGTGGTGGGAGTATTCCCATCTGCAAAAAGTGCTCCCAAGAAGCTTGCAGGAGGGTGTTGTTGCAAATGTTCTGGGAATATGCGTAGTACTGTAAATGATGTCATCGTCAAGGCCGGTTCCAGATTACCAGAATATAAACGAGTTTCCAACAACCCGAGCGGTACGACAAGAAACACATCAAACTCCTATTCTGACAACTAGGTTGAGTCATACAGCTTGCCATAGTTCCCTTGCATCATTTCTATCCGCTGGTTTCTAGAGGCTTTATAAAGTTTTCGCCAACTCCACCCAGGACCACCACTTGGCTGATGATCGTAGTAGCCAGGCCTTCTAGTGATCATCATCCAGCTGTGTGTAAAGTTCAGTGAACCTTAAGATCAGGTCGTCAAAGTATAACGACCTATAGTAGCCTTACGAACGTATCATTCCTCCATCAAAAAAAAAGCGCCACAGATGTGTCGCGTACCTGGCTGTTCGACCCATCCGCGACTGAACAATTGCACTACTTGGTCGTGGGAAATGGAATCGTAGGTTGACGTGGCGACGCCTACGACTGCAATATTGACAGCTTCCGATGGTACAGGACGACAATGATGGCTGCTTTTCATGGGGACATTAGCCAACAACAACAACGTCGAAGAGGTCTCGGTGTCTCCATGTCCTCAAATCTGCTCCTAGACAGCTACCTACACTAGTATAGCCTCTATCGCCCTCGAAATAAAGTTAGGGATGTGACTGCCAAAGAAAATTCTTGGAAACTTCTTGACTTTAGGAAGCAAGGAATCGGTGACTCCTGAACGACTCACCCATCATCAACCTCATTGTAACAAACGTGATGAATCCGTACCTGATGAAGAGTGGCGGAGCCCTTAAAGCGTTTATCTGTTTGGAGATGATAAATAACCCCTAAAAAAGCGTATTCGAGAAGTTCAAATCCGGTTTCTTGACAAGGATTCCTAACATGCTCATTTGGAGTTTATTGTAGGAAGCTCTTTTTTGGAGACTCTTTGGAACCCTTCCTGGCGACAGGCATTGAAACATCTGAGAAAAATATTCCTTAAAGCAACAAAAAGGTTTATGATTAGCACACTTTTGAAAATTGCATCATGGATCCATAAAAAACCCTCGTTGGTCATTAATTTCGATGTATGAATGCTAGAAACCGGTTCAGAAAAGTACATTTCGACTTTTGAAGCATAAATATGGATTGTTTGGGGAAGAAATATGAGCAATGGGACAGTTAGTGGTTTTATATGGCTATGACAAATAGCCAATCTACAACATTCCAGGTGGAAGAGGAGATATTTTTGCAATAGACGTCATAAGTTCAGCAGAGACTGGAATGCCGTCATGTTTTCTTCTTTATTGAATTAAATGGGAAAGGAAGCGCGCAGAGGATGAATTTATAAGTCCCATTCATAAAGGACAAAAGGACATCTAATGGAAATGCAAAACGGAATATTAACTGCATCGATCGCTTTTGGTGGATGCAAGTTCTTTTCCGCAGCGGGCACCTTCGATGGTTCCGACGGAGCTTGTTCTTTAGAGGGACTAATAAAGTAACTACCATCCAAGTATTTTGGTGGTCTTTTCAATGTCGCGAAGCTAATGGTTCAATCAAAAACAGTTGGTGAGAGGCAAGAAAATTCAAAGTCCTCCTAAAGATCTCTGGCACTGTCTCAAACATCCTGCTTACAATGCTGAGTTCATTTCTCCCTCCTACTTTCCATGCCAGCTTAACCATCCCTACAGCTCTTGCCTTATTTATCCTCCATAGTAAATTACTTCCGTACTTCCCCTTCATGTACTGGTTCTACCTACTGGGCTAGCCTTGCCTACCAAACTGGGCTGTGGCAATGAAATGATGGGTTAGGCCTGTTGGATCGGTACAGGATTCAAACAAGAAACCAACCGGTCGATGTTGCACACCCATCCAGCAAGAAGTGAGAAATGGAAGAATTTATGCGAACTACTGAGCGTGGTTCCTTCCATGTGCCATCTACGTGCGATCATGAGTGGGGAGTGTTCTGGAGGCAGTGGGGGATCTTCGCCATCTTAGCTTTATTCGGCCGTAAAATACAAAAATTACGGTGGAGCCCACTGTTGACTTTCAGAGAGAGAGAGAGAGTAGTCACTGGAGGACAACCACTCCATTTATTACAGAAACCACCCAGTTATCCAAATCACTGGTCCCTGGATCCTCTGGAATTATTTGAAAAACAGCCTTTCATCATTTGCCTTCTGAAATTGCCAGTAGGCTCACCTTCCCAAATTTCACCTCCTGGTTAGGAACTACTTCTCGACTTTCAGATTTCCATGGCTATGGTGGAAGCCAATTTGGTACCTGAGCGGATACGGTTTCGAATTTGACAGGCTAGTGAAGCTTACCAACGACTTCACGAGAAGGGTATTATCGAGTTTGGACTTTTTCGGACTTTCGAGCACTCTGCCTTCTCTAGGTAATTGCTGACCGGAAAAGAGCTTTGGAGAAGGATGGCTTGATCGAAGGAAACGGGGGTGATCCAAAACGTGAAAGGCTGGCCTTTTTGGATCTTCTTTTACGAATGCAATATACTAACCAGTTGAGTGATGAGGATATCAGGGAAGAAGTAGACACATTCATGTTTGAAGGTAAGTCTCAAAGTTTGCCATACTTGATTAAGGCCCCAGACAAATGTCTTTCAATTCTTGGAAAGCTGAAAAACGACCCCTCTGCCATTCCGATATACCCTGGGGGGGCGGTAGTGAATAAATGTCTGGGTTGTGCTCATCATGCCATCTTCAGGGGAGAACTGCTTTGGAATTACAATCGCTCCTTATTTTCCAGCAGCCTGCAAAACTCAGCTCACTTCCAGGGCACGACACAACATCCAGTGGAATCGGTTTCACCGTGTGGTGGCTAGGCCAGTCACCCGAATCTCAAAGAAAAGTTCACGAAGAGCTTGACAGGGTGTTTGGTGAGTAAACGCTTACATTATGTAAACTACTGATTCTAAATCGATACCCAATCAGTTTAAACAAGCTTTCCATCCCTTCTGGAGCGGTTAGTTGGCACCAGATTTGTCGAGGAGGATAAAACTTATGCACCGAACGGCAGCCGCGATTTCTGTATAGGTCACATACGCAATCCAACGCTACCACAAGTCTGACTAGAAGTAGAGTATGTGGCGCATTCCAACGGTGGGGTTATTTAAATCCAAAAGAGTTCATCCTTGTCTCCAACAGGTTCTTATCACCATTGACTGGATTAAGTCGGTTCTTCAGAGATCGCATGAATTCGACTAATGAGTAAAATCTCATGAAATCTTATTTCTGTTCCAGGTACATCCGACAGATTGCCTACTCAGGAAGATATCAAACAATTGGTCTATCTGGAAAAATGCATCAAAGAATCGCTACGGCTCACTCCATCGGTACCGCTCATTGCCCGAAAATTGTCACAAGATGTCCAAATCGGTCGGTTAGCTGGTTGGAGGACAAGTTTTTGCTGCTTAGGAATCTACCATTGGGATCGTGCCTCTCTTGATTGCTTGGGGCTCACTTACTCTGAATTTCCCATTCGTTGGTACGTAGTAGTGCCCTCTTTGATTCTCAGGTCCTCCTATCAAAGGCAAAAGATGCTGTTTGAGAACAAAGAGCCGAATGGCAACGAAAGAAACAGCGGCGGAAAATCTTCCTCAACAATTTTCTTTCTAGTAACCATAAACATGTCTTGAGAATGAAGATTTAAGGTGAAACTACACTTCCTGAAGGACTTACTGTTGTCGTAGTACCTATGACAACAGCCCGCGATCCACGATATTGGGAACGTCCCGAAGAATACTATCCAGAACATTTTGACGCCGATAAAATAGCCGGCAGAGATCCTTACTCATACATTCCATTTTCGGCTGGACCACGAAACTGCATCGGTACGTGAATTGGAAGATCCACTTTTTCTATTTAAAACATGAGAAAGAACAAAATGAGCCGTTTATTTTATTTCAACCCACGTCGACGTCGACCCACGGGCACTTTAACTCGAGGGAACTCATTATAACTACTCTGAGCAAAATGGATGAGTAGCTCCCACATCACCAGGAACTTGGGGATGGCGTTCTTCCATTTCTTGGTCCTAAGTGAATAGCACTCAGAAGATGTAACACATGCATCGGGTTTTTATACCAAAATCTCTCTATTCTGATTGAACTCTCCCAGTAAGCCAGCGCCTTCTTTTTACATGAGACGACGTCACTCTGGTACTGTGTTATGCTCCGTTATTTCTCTCAGTCTTCAAAACTCTTCAGGTCAGAAGTTTGCTGTACTCGAAGAAAAAGTTGTATTGTCATGGATATTCAGACGTTATCACGTGGAAACTGAGGAACCATACCCAGGAAATCGATCAGTACCTGAAATTATTCTTAAACCCAGCAACGGTTTCCGAGTCCGTTTGACAAAACGTTGAAGATGTTTTGCTGAAAAACAGACTCCAGATAATAATCCTCTTTGAAATCTTAATTGCGATAATTTATGATAAGCTCGATTCGTACTCCTCCAACTGGTTCATCCTCGCCCAGGATCGGAAACTCTATGCGGGAACCCTTTTTCACAGTAGTACTCTGATGGTATAAAATGCAATGGACCAAGAGTTTCACAGACAACATGCGTCGTTTCAGGCACAGCCTTACCCAGATTCACTAATCCTTATAAAATATACAAAAAGGTCCTAGGCACAACAACATGACCATTAGAGCCATCCCACCCTGGCTAAGTTGTTTGGTCACGATGCTGTGATGCATCAAAGGTGACGCGAATCAGTTCGATCCAGGACCTACGGCTGGATTACTGTAAAGATCGGGTTCCTGTACAGAATTTTCGCTTCTGTCCTAATTACTGTGCTGATTTCTGCATATTATGAACTGCGATTAGGACTTGGACAGGTCTGAGACGCATGGTCCTTTGTTATCGCAATTTTGATATTGTTCAGTGTAAGTCCTGAAAATAATGCCAAATAATTCAAATATTGAAGCTCCTCCTAGTTTCATCGTCTTTGGATCTTCATATTTCGTACGCTTTATTCT